CATCGGGGCCTTGTTAGGACTGGAAGGCAGACACTCCAAATGAGGTGCCTCCTTCAGTGTGGCTAAAACAAGGCTGGAGCAGACTGGATAGGAGGAAACAGACACAGCCACATCTGCAGAGGACAAGTGTCATAGGTGTAGCCAGCCGACAGTGTCTATGATCCCAAGTCAATAGCAACTGATAACTGAAATGATATAACTAACTCCATTTTGTTTTAGCTCACTTTTGTTTTACCCTGTGTTTCTGCCCAGCTATTCCCACAGCAGCCAGACACACGGAACATCTCATGCAGGTAGTTTCAGGGAGTACATTGTTTCTACAATACTGGGAACCGTACAAGTATCCAGGTAGTATGTCCAGATAGTACACACATCCTCCCTCCCAGCTGTACCTGCATCTCCATGGAACCCATGGTTTCTGCAATTTTGAGAAATTTGTTTTTTCCTAACTGAAACTTTTGGTTAACTGCAAACCTCTTTGTTCACTGACCTGTCCCTGGTCTGGTATAACTATGGTAATCTGACATAACTATGGTTATTGACTTTGCCCTTAGCATGATGTCATTGTGGTTTTAAGCTTCATAAACCCTTCACTGCTTCTCCTCGGGGTCAAGAGTTCTTTTCGGTGTTAACCCCCTCTCTGACTGCTGGCTAATAAAGGACTCTTGATCTGATCCAAAACCGTGTGGCACTTCTCACTCGATATTACAGTAACAGCAGAAAAGGGATGGAAACATGGAAGGAGCAAAATTGTTCAGGTGAATGGGGATGAAGATGACCTACCATGACAACTGCCTGGAGACGTAGTGAATTGGGTTGTCCAGTCAAAAGGCATCCTAAGGTCTACTGAGGCAGTGAGGGCTTGTCCCTCCAGAAAGAATTATGTACCCACATAGCTTTGTAGAAGAATAACGTAAATGTCTTTAGGAGCAAACTTACTAGAAAATCTGTTCCTTCCCCCAGGGTCTTAATTCTCAAACTTCAGATGCTTGAAATCTAGAGACCTGTATGGAGATTTGAGCCAAATTCTTAGCCTAAGAAGTCAAGAGGCTGAAACTCAACATTTAAGCTGTCATATTGTTCAAAGGAATGTCAAACAGGCTTAATGATAGGCCAAAATTATCCAGTCAGAGCACCATGGCAGGTCACCCTTGGATAACCTCAAATAACAAATCAAGCAGGCAACCTCTCTCTGCTCTTCATTCTTACTTAATGGAAAATGCTAGGAGAAAAAGCGTCCTAGTTCTACAGCAAATTCAAAGCCATCATCTTCCTATAACCAATAACCAAAATCCATCCAGACCTGGGACTTCCTGTTTGGAGTTCACTCTCCAGAGTGGAAGCCTTTTAATATCACCCTTATATATCTACCAACGACCAATTGCCCAGGGATGCATAACATACAATCTATTACCTTTTTTTATTTTATTATGATGCTTCTTTGGAGCTATATTTGTAGATGTCTGATGATAGAGGGCACCATTGAAATAGATATTAACAAACAACAAACTCTAAGGAATTGGAAATAACTGATCTTTTTGTATGGGATATTGTTTACTCTAGAGCGAGATTTTGTAGAAGGCAGTTTGTTCCAACTTGGGCTCCTCTGTGGGCTAACAGTTAATCTTCTGAATAGAGCATCACTTGGGAAGTAGAGATGAGAATCAATGCATCCTCCAAGAGAAAGGGATGATATACCAAATGCATTATTATACTGAAGTCTTGATAATGTGGTCCATGAGGCCCCTGGTGGAGCAGGGTTTATAATGAGATTCTTCTGATTCATTCTGCAATAACTAAACCCCAGCCTGCTACTGGCTCTAGGAGAAAAAAAAAACTGCCCCCATTAAACTATGTTTCAACAACAAGAATGAGGAAAAAGATGCAAAGTATTTTCAAATTTTATAAAATATATGTAAAAATTTTTCTCATCAATAAATTTTCATGCAAAAATTTCCATTCTTTTTCTAGCATAAGATGGGGTGATAGAGAGGCAAGTCTCAGGTAAATATCAATTACCAGATCTTTTTTGTAGAGGCACTTTTGTTATAGTTTAATCTTTCTCAAACCAAATGTGCCTTAAATTAATTTAATGCAGTAGTTTCATTTCCATGAAAACCTATCATTAGGTTGCCAAGCTGGTTATTAAATTGAGAGTACATATTTCAAACTATGGCATCTTAGAATCAAGGAAATGTGGCATTAAACCTTTGCAATGCTAGATGTATATTTTCAAGACAAGGCCCATCTTTGTAAGCTACTATTTGCAGAAACCATGGTACTCTGTCTCTGATTTGCTATAAAGGGGCCCTCCAGGTGGGTCCTAAGCATCCAAAAGTATTGTGCATATGCATTTCAACATAAAAATTCCATCATTCTCTTAGATGTTCCTTTCTTTAACACTTTAGTCCAATGAAATAGAAAGGAAATCTGTCTTACATTGACTTTGTAGTTGTAAAATGTTCTAAACTAATAGTTTTAAAAGGACATGTCTAGAGGGGTGTGGAGGCACCTGCCTGTAATCCCACTTCAGAAGTGAAGGCAGGAAGTTTGTGAGTTTGAAGCCAATCTGGGATAGTAAAACCCCACCTGAAAAAACCAAGGGCTTAAAAGCACCAGACTGGTGCAATTCACCTTCTTGGGTGTTTCACAGCCATACTTTGAGGCCTATACTAATCTGGTCAGAGGGACTTAAAGGACAGTTTTTGCTCCTTGTCCTCCAAGGCCAACTAAGTTCCAGGGACTATGGAACATCTTTTAAAATGTCCTGTAATTGTGGTGAGTCACCTGTCCCTTTGTTCAGGGAGGCCATGGAGACCCCACCAGATGGACTTGAACCAGTGTCCAGTCTACAAAGAGGAGGGTCAACACAGAGAAAACATTTCCTCCATGCTTCCAAGTGAAGCCAGCCACAGTCAAGTAGGACCTTTGACTTATCTTCACATTGATGGAACTGGTAAAAGAAAGGAGCCAGGGGCTCTTCCCAAGCCCATGTGACCCCTGAGGAACAGATCCTCAAATGACCTTAAGTGTAAATATAAATTGATTTATTTGGGCCAACTGTATGGTCTTAAACACCCAAAAGGAAAGTATAACCAAAGACCAAAGTGATCAGTATGTTTCTTTAAGAGTTCAAGGGACTACACCTCTCAGACATTAGGCTTAAGTCCACATAAAAAGTTATTTAGACAATTATCTCTCATTGATGATTTTGTTCTGAATCAGAAAGTGTTTCTCATATGTAAGCCTTCAAATCTTGGTCTGAAATACTGTAGTGCCCATCTGTATAAGGGAGACAATCCATTATTGTTCTAAAATGATGGATAAATTTGTTTTCTCCCCCTATCTAGAAGCCTTTGAGAGGCAACTGACACTGATTCTAACCACTCCAACAGCTATCAAAATGCCTGAAAGCAAATCCTGAATCCATCACTTTCAAGTCCAGCCTTGGCAAACAGAAGAAAATGAGGAGGAACCCAATAGAGGGATGCTTTTGGAAGCCCTTGTCAAGAAATTCCAATGGATTCTCATATGAACATTTGAAATTTGCCATTCTGACTTTTTTCTGATTCCCTGTCTAGAACTTGTAATGCTAACTACTCTTGCCTTTACTTCTCCTTCACATCTCCTATTCACCAGTCAAGGACTTTCTTTTCCCTATACAGATAAGAGTTATGCAATGAGTCTTTTAGATAGACCCACTGAAGGGGTACCCCAGTTGCCTCACACTGCGTCCCTGTTCAGCATGAGAGAAGCCAGAGTGGTCTGTGTCCTGGTTCTCTGAAAACACTTACGCTTCTTGTTTTGGGAACTGGGCTGTCATATCGGTAAAAGCACAAATTACATTAGTTCTTAATTTCACATGTGATGTTCCAAAAAGTAGCCAGTTTCTTGGCTAAAACTCACAATGTCCTTGGGCCTCTTAGCAACACACTCCATTCCAAAGGCCAAAAATGTCAAAAGTACTTGGGAATGCTGATCTAATCCTTAAAATATTTTAGGGCTATCTTTTCAGAGGGGGGAATGTTAGTATATTGAAATTTAGACCAGTCTATATCAAAAGACAAAAGAAAAGAGGAGGAAGAGGAGGGGGAGGGAGGAGGAGGAGGAGGAGAAGGAGGAGGAGAAGGAGAAGGAGAAGGAGAAGGAGAATAAAATTATCAGGAAATTATCAGGAAAAAGTGATGGGGAGATATGGGAGGAGTTGGAGGAGAGGGAGTGGGGATAGATTTGATAAAAACACCTTCTATGCCTATATGAAATTCTCAGTAAATTATTTTTTTAAAAGAACTAGGGACATAGTTCAGTGGTTGAGTGCTTACCTAGGATGTACAAGGAAATGGGCTTATCCTTAGCATCATAAAAATGAAACAAAATAAGTAAGTAGGCGTGTCTTAGAAAGAGCTATGGAGACAGGTGTTTCCTGGAAGGGCCGCTGCAAAGTTCACAGGCCCTGTCATGCAAAGTCAACTATGAACCTGAGTGAGTAGCAACCAAATGAAGGCAAAGCTCTAACACCTGATAGTGATGACATTACAGGCAGAAAATTTGCCTGCACACAAAGAAATAATGATTAGGAAGGAAGAGACAAAATATCACCTTATCAAAAGCCCAGAGTGGAGTTTGGAAGGAATAGATGTGTACACGGGGCTTGAATGTAGGTCGTGACTACAGATGGATGATAGCTAGCCTGCAAGGTCAAGGACATCCTAGCCCCTGCTGATCTGCTGGCTTCTCCCGCTGAAACATAATGGTCATAAATGAGCCCAGTGCTCTGCATCTCCATCACATCCCTCCTCTGCTCTACCAGGGCCACTACCTGTGAGGAGCCTGATCCAGAGACAGCAAAGCTCATCCTCCCAGTACCTGGTGTGGGAGGCTTCCAAAAACTAGCAACCGACACCACAGGCAGCGCCCCTCAGTTGCTCTCCCTGCCCCTTGCTGCTTCCTCCAGCAGGCCAGTAGATGCCAGCTCATGGTTTCCACCGTCAGGGTTGTACCTTCAGTGTTTCCTTCTCCTTCTCTATCCGCTGCTGTTCCAGGTGCAGCTTCAGGAGTGCAGACTCTTTGGCGGAGATTTCTTCTTTCAGCTGATCCACCTGATGGGTTATAGTCTTTAACTTTCTCTTCATTTCTGTAATCTCATCCTAACAGAGGAGAAAGGTTTGAAAGTCAGTTAAACAGACATCATCACCCATGTGGAAGTGCAATACATATTTAGGCGCTCTCTCAAAACAATGGTCTGGGGCTGGAGAGATGGCTTGGCAGTTCTAGCAGAAGACCCGGGTTCGAATCCCAGCACCCACATGGCAGCTAAGAACCATTTGTAACTCCGGTTCCAGGGGATTCAACATCCTCTTCTGTCCTCTGTGAGCATTGCCCAACACATGTGCAATTGCATACATGCACACAATACACACATACACATAAACTAAAAAGCAAAAAAGGACCAATTACACTTAAGCAATTGCTTTGTCTCTTGTGCCCATCAACCTCCAAGCACCTTATAACAGTTACTCAGAACAGTCTCATGAGACAGACACAAAGTACAAACGATGACTATGCTGCACACAGCACATGCGCACATACACACAGTCCCTCCTTTTACTAAAAGAGCCAGAACTGCAACAAATGTAACTAAGAAATTTCAAAGCCAAGTTCAACAGTTACAGTGGATGTGCCGATGCACCCTGAGTTTTGTGAGCAGCTTAAAATCTACAAAGAAGACAACAGCAATCCTACACAATATTTAGACGGGCTATCATCTCCAGGTTCTATTAAGTTATGTCGCTTCCATTCCAAGCAACTTAATGGTATTTATAAATTGATGTTTTTCAGATGGATTGCACAGATTTCTTTCTTAATTATTTCTAAATCCTGCTGAAAAAACTACAGAAACTGCTTTAAACCCAGGTGGAGAAGCATCAAAATGCAAAGACATAAATGAATGGTTTACCTGTGCCTCCACCAGATTCTTGCTGTACAGGTTTCTATCTGACCTCACAGCTTCATACAGGCTTTGTTGCTGTTTTAATTTAGTCTCTGATTCAGCTATTTTTTTCCTGTAGTCAAAAATCTGGATTTCATGGACTTTAATGTCTTCCATGCTTGCAACGACCTGGAGAAAGAGGAATTTGAACACAGTTAAATAGCCCATCTGTGCATATATATTTGGGGAAATGAGAGGATCTTTGTCTAAGAGTGGCTGATAGAGATACCAGCAATCAGAAAGCCAGAGACTACAATCACTGCAGTGCAAGACGGAAATGAAGGCCAGCCAGTCAGGGACACACGTTTCACCCACACTGATCTTCTGCTCAATTAATAAAGGCTTAACTGTTTATTTTAAGATCATGGATGGGAGGAGTAATTCAGTTCTGGAAATGTCTACTGATCACTGCACACACACAAAAAGCACAATTTTGGGGGGGAGACTGGGTCTCCCTGTAAACCCAGCTGACCTGGAACTCACTATGTAAACCATGCTAGCCTTAATCTCACAGAGATCCATCTGTCTCTGCCTCTCAAGTGCTGGGATTGAAGGTGTGTGCCACCATGCCCAGTGAAAAGCCACAAATTTGGGCTGGAGAGATGGATCAGCAGTTAAGAGTACTGGCTGCTCTTGCAGAGGACCCAGGTTTGATTCCCAGCACCCACATGGCAGCTAACAGCCATCTGTAACTCCAGTTCCATAGGATCTGACACTCTCTTATGACCTCCAAAGGCACTGCATGACACACACAAACACACATGCAGGCAAAACACTCATACAAATAAAATAAAAATAATAAATAAAGTATGTAAAAAAGAAAAACCACAAATTTAACAGATCTTAACAAATCTTTAACAGATCTTAAACAGATCTTTTCTCTTAGGAAAGATAAGAGGGAACTCAGCTGCTTTATCAAGTTCACAGTGAAATTCCTTTCTAAGTGGCCTTTGAACCCTGACAGCCACCATAACTCTGTCTTGCCAATCTCAAGCTCATTCCATCAAGAGAGCTCAGTGAGCTTCATAAAAATGCAATCTATTGTGCATACAGTCAGACAGGGAGTGGTATGGCCCCCTTCCTTTTGCAAGGATGAGAAACCAGGGCCAGAAACTCCAGTGTGAGCCAATTCCTCTCCATGAGCAGTTCATAAAATAGAAATTACCTAACCATGACTCTGCTGCAGTGGACACAGAAATTGATTCTTTTGAAAGGAAAACTACTTTTTAAAAATTCCTTTTTGAAAAAAAAAGTCTAAGGAGGGAAACTGAAGAAACTGCTCGGCGGATTTAGAGTTCTGGCTGCTCTTGCAGAGGACCTGGATTCAGTTCCCAGCACCCACAAGGTGGCCAAAAACCATCGCTAACTCCAGTTCCAGGGGATCTGATGTCCTCTTCTAGCTTCCACTGATATGCATACATGTGATGCACTTACATACATGCAAGCAAAACACATACATAAAATCCAAATTTAAAAAGTTAGGGAGGAAGACATTAAATCAAACTATTATATAAATAACACCAGCACATAAAAAGACAAAATTCTTAGGATCTTATGGCATTTTAGTGAACTTCTCTTAATGGTTATAATGGGCAGAAAAAGAGCAGTGTGGCAGAAGGTGAAAGGATGGGGACATACTTGACTAACATGAATCTAGAAGGTTCCTCTGAAGAAGCAATACTTTAGCTATAACCAAAAGATGGAGAAGGACTGTAGACCTTTGTTGTGTTAATGCTCATTGTAATTCAGGCCTGTGCTATTTGTGACCAACATGTTCCCAAAGTTTTTCACTACAAATACTTGCTTTTTCCCCCTTGTGGAATTAGTGTTACCATACATATATATATATATATATATATATATATATATATATATATGGTATATGTATATATATATATGGTATATGTATATATATATATGTTCAGGTCAGGTGTGGTGGTGCACAACTTTAATAAAGATTCATGTCACCTCTCCTTCAATATCTATAAGAAAGTTTTCAAAGGAGAGGTGACATGACTCTTTATTAAATGCCTTTCAACAAATAATATTTTGCAGTATTTTTCTTCTAGGATCAATTGATTTTTATATATGCAATGATCAAGGGTTTCTTTAAAAAAATATTTGAATTTATCATAGTCCCACATGTCATAATTTTAAATAAATTAATAAAGGTGAAGCTCACTTTTTTTCTTTATTTATGTGAGCCTCCTGCCTCTCTTCAACCTGACAGCCCCTCATCTATACATAACCTCTTAGGTTAACAACCCGATATGTGCCTTTCATGTTTTTCCTTGAATTTTACATTTTCTACTCAGGTCTACAAACAAAACAATAACTCATAGGCATCAGTTATTTTCCATGTACCTGGCACTTTAGGTGTATTAACTCATTTAATCTTCACAAAAGTCCTATAAGAAGCGTATTATTACCTCGATTTTCTATTCAGGAAGATTGAAGTCAAAAGAAGCAATATCTGTAAAGTGATTCGACTAGCAGGGATATAGCTGAAAGAATTAGATTTCCTCCTTTTCCTTTGCTTCTGGGGTTTTGTTTTCATTTTTTTAGGCAAATAAAATCTTCTTGTACATACTTTTATGTACCTTGCTTCTTATTACTCAATAGTTACCTTGTGGAAATCATTTGAAATAGCTCTAATTCATCCTCTTTAAAGGTTGCATAATATCCTGTGGTGTGGATGGTAGCATCATATAGTCAACTATATGACTGTGAGCACTAATATACTTCTACTCTTGCCACCATGAGGCAGGCTATAGTGACTGTTGTACACATGAATTCTCATCCGCTTCTGTGGGATGGAGTCCCAAGAGTGGAATAGCTCCCCCAAGAGACATATACATTTTTAACTTTAATACACATTGCTAGATTGCTTTCCAAAATGGCTGTAACACTCTACATTGCCACGCTGCCAGCAATAGTTCTCTTAATAGAAAACTACCCTTGCAGTTTCAGAATAAACCCTCTTTGGTCAGACTAGATGGTTCTTTTAATGTACTGTTGAATTTGGTCTGTTGGAGTTTCATTTAGAATTCTTTCTATATCTTCCTAAGTGATATAGGCCTACAGCTTTCTTTTTCATTCAGTTTCAGTATTAAGGATTCTGTTCATTTGATAAAGTGAATGAAGTACCTTCTGTTCACTCGTTCATTCACCCGATGAACATTGGCTGAGGTCCTGTTATGACAGGCACCATAAGAGCATGATCATTATAAAGAGGAACAGGACACATCCCTTGTCCTTATCATTCGTAAGTAACCCCACTACAGAATGAATAATCAATGGGTGACTATGACCAGTAATTAAGACATGCATTTGGATGTCACTGGATAATTTCTGAGGCTGGACCTACACACCTGATTCAAGCAGTTAATGTTAGCAGTTTCCCCAATCTGTGGGAACTGCCTCTTCACTCTTAGTACTCAACCATCCCACCCTAAGCCTCATTCTGTGTGTTATCACTTGGAAGCCACGAGCTACATCAGTAAAACAATGCCTATCGCTGTCAGTCCCAAACTATACAAGTACATGACCCACAGTTTCTTTGAAATTCTAACACAAGGACACAATTTTATATATATATATACAAAATCATATATACATATACACACACACATATATATATATAATGAGAATTCTGATTCTCACAAATTTGAAGGAACTCAACTCTAAAGTCATTGGGCCTTTCAGTCAATGCTATAAAAATAACATCCTGTCCCTGTGACTTCCACAGATAATGATCTTCATAAGTTTTCTACTTCTTGAGTAAAACTGTAATGCTTTTTTTTTTTTTTTTTTTTTTTTGTCTTTTTGAAGCAGAGTCTCCCTGTAGCCCCAGCTGTCCTGGAACTCACTATGTAGACCAGGCTGGCCTTGAACTTACAGAGATCTGCCTGCCTCTGCCTCCCAAGTGCTGGGACTACAGGCATGCGCCACCACACCCAGCTAATGCATATATTTTTAAGAAATTATCTAATTCAACTAATTTTTAAACTGTATGCAATTAGAGTTATACAAAGTATCTCACAAGATTTCGCTATTGGTTATTATGGTTATTGATTGCTATCACCTAGCTGGTATGGAAAAAAAAACAGCCAAGCTATGAATACGTTCAGACTCAGTGGCAAATGGCTTGCATGGTTGGTTGGGGTCTGGAAGGAGCAAGATTAGAAAACTGAAGACAAGGATGTCTGGGGAAAAGGCATGTCAATGGATCTCAAATGAAAAGAAAGCCCCCCTCCCTTCTTCCAGTGCTGTAGTAATCTGCATTTCTAGGATCCTTCACAATGAACAGCAGGCCACTTTACAAGATATCAACACTGGTATTTGAAATGCATGCTAGAAATAAACATAAAATCTAAATAAGGTACTCATTCCTGGATCTGTTTTCCGATTTTAAGACAAAGCACTAACGTGGCCAAAGTTAGTGTCTCTGCAGATAAAGCATCACCCTCATCGAGTCAATGAAAGGAAAAGACTGAAAATACTTTGAACAGCGTCATCAGCATTCAGAATGTCAAGCGGCACATCAGAGAAAATAAAAAATTGCTTGTTCAGTCACTTTGAGAGATGTTATCACAAGAATGATCCCTTGCACAGACCGAATAATGCTCCAGAGAAAGGAAGTTGGCAAGGATGTTTTTCTCGAGCATCCAAGGAACACAGGCCATCATTCTGCACACAACAGTGCACAGACTCGCTAGCTGGCTCCTGGATTCCTGAAGACAAGAGTAATAAGAACCCATCATGATACCAGGAAGATCAAAAGAATTTAAGTTAAGTGACAATGAAAAAAACAGCAAGTATTGAAGCTAAAAGAAAAGACAATTTACAAAGCAATTTATTTCAAAGTGTTGGGACTCAATTTATTTTGATGGGAACCATTCGAACCAATGTCCTGAGGTTCATAACCCCAAAATGTGTCGAATGTGCTGGGGCATTAAACAGCAGCCCAACGTCTGATCACCAAGCTGTCTCCTGTTAAAAGCAGAGCATCAGAGATTGTTAGGGGCCAGTTGTGGGCTGTAGCTTAATTAATTGACTATATTTTCAGATACCTCAAACCAATTCATGAGATCCATCACATTCAAGTCTAGTAAGTTTTACTACAATCA